GTGTACTCAACCCCCTTCCTCAGCAGGTCGGTCAACGGGGCAGTCAACTTCGCCACGTCGGGGATGAACCGGCGCACGTAGTTGACAAACCCTAAAAAACTCTGCAGCTCAGTCAAGTTGGTCGGCGCGTGCCATGCTTGAATCGTCGCGATTTTTTTCGGGTCTATTTCCACTCCCGCGGCTGAAATAATTTGTTACAAGAACCCCATTCGGTCCAGTAAAAACTCACACTTAGAGGATTTGGTCAGTAGGCGGTTCTCACTCAGTATTTTTAAAACTGCTTCGATGTCCTGTAAGTGATGTGCTCTGCCGGGGCTGTAAATCAGGATGTCGTCAAGGTACACGATGACGCACTTCTCTAAAAGCGGGCAGAAGGCTTCATTCATTGTCATTTGGAAGGTGGCGGGGGTGTTGGTCAGTCCGAAGGGCATGACTGTATATTCGAAGGACCCGTAGCGTGTTCGAAAAGCTGTCTTGGGGCAGTCGGGTGGGTTGACGCGAATCTGGTGTTAACCCCCTCTAAGGTCGATTTTCGAGAAAACCCGGGCTGTGCGCAGTTGGTTTGTCTTTTTCGAGCAGGTAATATAGCTGCTTCCTTAGTTTGTCCAGTTCGGGTTGGGTCAGTCGGAACTGTCGCTGTACTGTCGGCTGTGCCCCCGGTTCTAATTTTATCATGTGGACGTGCGGTCGCTGAGGTGGCAGTCCCGTCGGGAGGTCGTCTAGAAATATTTCACTGTACTGCTTCAGAAGTGCTGCCAGGTCATCCGATACGTCGGCTAGCAGTTTCTGTAAATCCCCCCCTTTGTCTGCTGCCTCGGCTTCCCGAATGTCAACCACGTACACGTCAGCTCCTGCCGCTACGGCGCGTTTCATCGTGATCGCGTTGACACGCACCGACAAAGACTCAGGCGAGCCCCAGCGAGGTAAGGCGATGTTGTTACCGTTCACTCGCACGGTTCAATCACCCGTCGTCCAGTCGATTCGCGGATTGTGTCGTCGCAGCCAATCACGACCGAGTAAAATGTCGGTTCCGTCGAGGGTTGTCGCGAGCATTTCCTGGCTAAACGTGAAGTTACCCCCGCATCGAATCCGAACCCGGTCTACACATTCCCGTATCGCCAGTGGCGTGCCGTCAACTAGTCTTGCGTCGATCTCAGGTAAGCATCTGTCCACTGGCAGTTTTAGTTTCCGTGCTGTGGCAGTGTTAATAAGGCTGTGGCTGGCTCCCCCGTCTACGAAGATTTTAACTAAGTCCGTCCCGATTTTCCCACTAAGCGGTATGAGGCTGTCTACCGTAGTACCCTCCTTATTCGGCCGGGTGTGGTTGATTGCGTGAACTGGCACAATCACTCGGTGAGGGTCGGTTGGGTCGGGCGAGCAGCGTGACCTGTCAATAGAGGGCCGGTCTGCTACTGACTCCCAGCGTTTCCCTACTGCTTGGTCTATTTTTGCCGCTCAGCTTCCCCCTTTCCCTTAGCGTTTTCCGGGCATTCGCTCTTACGGTGTCCCGGCCGATTGCACGCGAAGCAGCGCCCTTTGAACGGTGCAGCAGCGGCATTCCCAGCGACGGCACGTATCGTAGCGCCCTCGTTTGTCCCACGAGATTGATGTCCCCAGTTACTGCTTCAGTAGGACCCCGGTCTCGGTCGGCGGAAGAAATCGAGCTTCTCTGCCATAGCGAGAATTTCTTGAAAATCGGTGACGCCGCGAAGCTGGATTTCCTGAACGATGTCGTTCTTCGGGCCGCCGATGTAGCGGTCGATGCGTTGGCTCTCGTGCATATAACCCACTTGCTCGCATAGCGCCAGAAATCCGCTGGTGTAGTCCTGGACGGAACCGAGTTGGCGCCAAGTGCGGAGCTTCTGTCGCGCCGCGATCGAAGCCGCCTCAAATCGAGTGCGCAGACCTGCGCACCATGCGTCCCACGTGCGATACTGGGGCACCTCCATGAAATACGACGCCGCCCAGGGTCCGATTTGTCCTTACCGTGTCGGTAGAGTCGCGTAGTCCACCGGCTTCGTGACGATGACACGCCACCGATCCATGGCGGGTCCTCGCAGCAGCGACACGGCGTAGCGGATTTTCGCCGTATCCTCCGAGGCGTAGTTGGCGTCGAAGAAAACGTTCAGCGTGAACAACCACGCCTGAACGGTAGGACCACCCCGTTGACTCGGGTCAAAGCATGGCGGACGCTGCGGCTTCATCGGCATCGGCGACGGCAGTGTTGATTCGCCGGCCGGCACAGAAATCGTGACCCGAGGCCGACTCCTGACCGCATTCGTCGCTTCGGGGTGTGTCATGCTGTGGTCGTCGTTGTCAGAATAGCAGCTAGAAAGTTAGAACAGGAAAGAGAGGTTGCACTAGTAAGCAGGGTAGTACATATAGTAAACCCTAATCGGGCTGTACTCACTATAGAATACCCCACTGCAGACTAGACAAATAACACATTCTGATACACCCCCATTGTCAAAATGGGGTATAGTCAGCACAGCAAGGAGTCGCATAATGAGTTCACAAGCACAAGCAAAGCTAGAAGCATTCACAAAAGGCAAGTGAGGAGGAGGAGGGACTGTGAGAGGAGTGTAGATAGGAGGCGACGGGTGAAGCCGCAGACACACGGGCAACAGGAGGGGCGCACATGGTGGCTACCGGAGCAAGGGCCCCGGACTACAGGAGTAACTGGCTCCGCGGCTAAGACGAGCGACAGGAGCAACGGACCCACGGGCGACTCGCGCAGCGACTGGCTCGCTGGGCTACCGGAGCAAGGGCCCCGGACTACTGGCGCTGCGGACGACACGACGGCTGCCTCCGCTCAACCTCCCCCAACTGTCCCACACCCCATTGACACACCCCCTGCTGCACCCCTAGCTCCACTCCCACGACACCCCCCTAGTGCCACTCCCTCGGCTCCCACACACCCACCCCCCTCAGCGGCAGCTGCAGCAGTGGGAGACAGAGGAGGAGGAGGAGCAGGGGACGGCTCACACACCCGCCACCCCCATACCCTCCACCCCCCTACCCCAAACATAGGCAGCAGCTGGGGCGGCGTGCGAGCGGAAGCGGGGCGGCGAGCAGGTCCCTAGGGCGCTGCGACAGGCGACGGGCAGGGCGGCGCGCAGGCCCCCGGGGCGCTTCGACGGGCGATGGGTGGGGGCGTGACGCGAAGGCCCCCAGGGCGCCACGGCGGGCGACGGGCAGGGCTGCGCGCAGGCCCCCGGGGCGCTTCGACGGGCGACGCGCGGGCCCCCAGGACGCCCGCGGTGGGTGACGGGAGGGGACAGCGTGCGGGCCCCGGGGCGCCACGTCGGGCGACGAAACCGCGCGGCGGGCAGGAAACCGCCACGCGCCCGGAGCGCGTGGCGGGCAGAAAACCGCCACGCGCTCGGGGCGCGTGGCGGGAAGAAAAAATGAACATCGCGCAACACGGGGCGCGCGACACACAGTATGGCAGCGGAAGCAGGCGGGCCCATAGCCCAGGAGCGTAACCGCTCTGAAAGAATGTCAGAATAGCAGCTAGAAAGTTAGAACGGGAAAGAGAGGTTGCACTGGTAAGCAGGGCAGTACATATAGCAAACCCTGATCGGGCTGCACTCACTATAGAGTACCCCACTGCAGACTAGACAAATAACACATTTTGACTGTCGTCTCCGTCGTGGCGGACGACGCCATCACTGGCCGCGCTCGCGGGTTGCCCCACGCTTCCATGTTGGATGTCTGTGGTGCGGGCTGTACTGGAGTGCCAGGTGCTTGGGATTCTGCTTGCTGTCCTCGTGCGACGTCATTTTGCGGGGACGTATGTTCTGCCGTCAGCGCTGCGATTTCTTCAGAGCTTTCGGGAAGTTACTGCAGCAGTTCGTTCAGACGCTCCTGCGTGAGGGTGGTGACGTCGATGTGCTCGGCCATTGCGAAAGGCGTCGGATCGGCTTAGTCTAGGCGCAGTTGTGGCTGCACGCGTTTACGAGATAACGCGAGGACAACGGCTCCTAGGGGCTAAGGTGCGTGAGTCCCTTCGAGTGAAAAAAACAAAAGTTGATTTCCTGGGGTGCGGAGATGCGCGGTCCGAAAAGAAAGAGGCTCTGATACCAAATGTTATAGGTGTAATGAATCGAGGTAGCAAGGATTGCACTAAGTGTCAAACAAGTACAAAATGTGAGCGAAGACATGAGCGAACATTTATATGCGAAACATGCAAACGGTAACGCGGTGCATGCGAGCTAGCTAGTGCTACGCTGACAGTGAGGTTCGGGCTAGTTCCGAAGCGTAGGCCGACACGGCCGGGCCAGTAGTGCGAGGTTTGGTGAAACAGTGCGCACGAAGTCGGCGAAGCCCCGCTAGCAGTAACAGGCGAACAACGGCTGCTGCTGTACGCGATGTTGCGGGATGCGCTAAGGAATGTCGAGAATATTCCTTACACCATCCCATTTCATCATTGTTAGAGGCAAGGCTCTCCCCAATCCCATTGTAAGGAATTCTGCCTAAATCCTTACTGAGACACTTCATACGCGTACAACTATGCGATATTGCATTCTGCGCACTCTTCTGACAACTCATAACCATGATCCTATCCGAGCTCCTTGGTTACCAGCCCATGCTACCTCAGGTGAATGGTTGTAGCGGGATGCTCATCTGTTGAAGTCAATATGTCTTGTTCCCAGCCGATACAATCAAGTTGAAGTCAAAGACAATAGCGTCGCACGCTTGCGACTTTCTGCGATCATTTGCGACCTTGACTCGGGGATGAGTTTCGTGCTCTGCACACCGACGACTCGTGTCGGCTCTACAATATAATCTGTCCGTTTCCTATCCTCGAGATGTCTCGGCCTTTGAATAGGTGCATCTTTAGAGATGATCTCATCAGAAAGAGCAGGAACCATCATGATGCACCTCTTGAATCCACTCCACAACCATCAGAAAGAGCAGGAACGAGGCTCGTTCTCTCGCCGTCACGGTCCGCGTATACTTGATCCCCGTATTTCTAGGAGCGACGAGGCGCGCTTCCGATGGAGGCGTTTCAACGGTCAGTTGCCTCGAGGGGTAAACTTCTAAAGCAAGACCTTCGCCTGTCGAACCGTTTAGTGGTCTCAGATACTGGTGCACTTCTAGGGTCGTCTTTAGTAGGTTCATCCCCAGGTTGGTTGCTAACATCTCCGAAGCTCGCCACGTGGCGCGTGCTGCTGCTGCTCGTTCCCGCGATCCTTATCGGCCAATCTCTTCTCTCCAGCCACACACAGGGCGTTCCCTCGCACTATCTCGTCGCTGAAGGAACGGAAAACGCGGCGATAGGTGCGGTAGAAACGACTCGGATCGGTGGGGCAGGGACGGCGGCAATCGCGGAAATCGGCACGGCTCCAGGTTTCTCCACGTCTCGTTCGAGCAGCGCAGGTGAGGGAGACGATCCTCCCGAGCCGGGCCGCGGAGGTGGCGGCGGTGGCGGCGGTGCCACTGGTGGCTCTCTCCAGGGCGGGACTGGAATCGGCACAGGCGGCGTGGACGATGACAAAGCGGATCCAGAGAAACAGCAGCACCAGGATGAGCGGCAGAAGCAGCAGCAAAGACAGGGGCCATCTGGACTCAGGGTCTTAGTACTACAGGCGCAGCAGCAGCAGCAGCCAGAGCAGCAGCAGCAGCAGATGCTCTCTATGGCAGCGCTCACAGCATCCAGGTCAGCATCCAGGTCAGCATCCAGGTCAGCATCCGCCACAACCGCCGCTATCCGCGCTTCAGAAGCTGCTGTAGCACCCGCAGCAGGGCTGGATCATGGGGAGATTAATGGCTATTCTGCCGACCAGGATACTAATGCCAATCCCAGTCCTTACTATCATGGCCATCCCAGTGCCGATTCGAATGCCAGTGCTGGCGGTAGTGCGGGGGGCAATGCAAGCGGTGGAAGCGGCGGTGCAGGTGATGCAAGCAGTGCGAGGGGTGCAGGCGGTGAAAGCTGGGGTTCGGAGCGGTTCTACATGGTGACGGGCGAGGGCGACTACTGCGCGGGAGAGTCGCACTGGACGTGGAGCTTCCTGTGCGCCGCGGCGGAGGCGAAGGCTCTCAACCGCACGCTCATCATCCCCATGGCCCGGTGCCTGGACGCACGGCATACTTTGTCGCATCTGACGGAGGAGAAACCGATGGTGCTGTATTATGCCATGGACCACTGGCCGCGGTATGATTGCTTGTCCTTTTCTCACCGGTCACTGGTAACTGATATTTGTTCATTGGTGGTTGAGAACTGGTGGCCTAGTAGTTAAGTGGCGCAGAACGATTCGACAATCACAGGGCTGATTGGCTGATTCAGAAGGCCAAGGTTCTATTTAGGAGTTCCAGATCCAGAGTAGAAGCGACAGCCTTACACCTATGCCCCATGCTTGCATGACTTTCTACTCAAAAGCCAACTCCAGGTTTTCAAAGCTCGTGCTGTGTAAGCAACGGGTGTTCAGCCTTTCACTCCTGAACTTCCTGAGAATCCACTCCATGTCGACGACGCTCCATTCACGCTCCTTTCTCGCGTGCCCATTCACGTTCCTTTCTCGCGTGCCCATTCACGTTCCTTTCTCGCGTGCCCATTCACTTTCCTTTCTCGCGTGCCCATTCACTTTCCTTTCTCGCGTGCCCATTCACTTTCCTTTCTCGCGTGCCCATTCACGCTCCTTTATTGCGTGGCCTTTCACGTCACTTTCGTGGTTGGCCCTTCATGTTCCTTATTCACTAGGCCTTTCGCCCCCATGCCGTTCTCGCATGATTTCCGGATCGTGATGTTTGACCCGTGAGTGGTTTGAGCGATGATGCTTGAACCATCAACCTTAGAAAAAGATACAAAGGAGTGGAGGATGTTGAAAAGATGGAGGAAACAGAGGAGGTAGCAGAGGAGGTTGAAGACAAAAGGAATGGCGTCTTTTTGTGGCCCGTTCACCTCCCCTCCCCCTTCTTACCCCCTCCCTCCCCCCATCTCCCCTTCTTCCAACCAACCCTTCCTCCTCTTACCCCGCACGCAGCTTCCAGCCCATAATGCCGAGCCTCCAGTTCGAGGTCAAATTTGGGCTGCTGGACGTGACGATTCTGAGGGAGAGGCACAACATGAGCGTGCGTGTGTTTGAGGGGAGCGAGCCCACGAGCAGGCTGGAGAGCGAGGATGCGCGCAGTGCCACTCTCATCGTGCGCAATGCACGGTTCGCCTTTCAGATGTGCTCTGAAAGCGGGGATCAGGTGCGTGGGGGGGGAGGGGGGGGAAAAGGGTGGGGGGGGTGGGGAAGGTGAGGTGTGTGGGAGGCGATGAGGTGGGTGGGTGGGAGCGAGAAGGCAGAGCGAGGAGAGGAGTACATGTATGTGCAACATGTGTAACAGACCTTTCTAACCCTCTTCTGTCCCCTTAAACCTCGCCCTCTCTACCCCCCTTCCGCCGCCGTTCCCCCTTCCTCCCTCCCTCTTCCCCTCTCCCAGAAGCGTCTGGTGCGCAACTACAACCTGATCCAGCGTCCCAAGTACCTGCGGCGCCTAGCAGAGGCCATTCGGCGCAGCATTGGCGGGGAGTATGATGCCGTGCATGTGCGGCGCGGAGACAAGCTGGATAGCCGCTTCTGGCGGCACCTCGACCGAGATACCCGCCCCGAAGCGTGCGTGGGGCATGAGGGAATGGAGGGAAGGGGAGGGTGGAGGGAGAGGGGGGGAGAACGAGAAGAGAGAGGGTGGGGATACGCGAGGGTTGGGAAGGGTGGGATTACTGTGCTACAATTGGAAGGTGTTGCTGTGGTGCGTTAATAGGTTCAGTGAAGCATGGGCATATGTGTGAGGTTCTCGTGTTGAAGAACCTACTGGGAGTCTTTTGAGAATTCTCAAAACTCGTGTTGAAGAACCTACTGGGAGTCCTACTGAAAAATCTTAAAAATAGCTCTTTTAAGCACCCTCGTGTCCCCCACGCCTTATCCTTCTTCTCCCTCCCTCCCCCTCTTCCTCTCTCCCTCCCTCCCTCCCCCTCTCCCTCTCTTTCTCCCTCTCCCTCTCCCTCCCTCCGCCCTCTTTCCCTCCCTCCTTTCCCACACACAAACGACTCCCTCCCTCTCTCCACCCCTCCCATCTCCTCTCCCTTACTCTCTCACTCCCACACTCCGTCCCTCCCTCCTCCCTCAACAGCCTCTTGAAAAAGCTACCCAAGTTTATAAAGCCGGGGCGCCACGTGTACATAGCGTCGAACGAGCGCACTCCGGGCTTCTTCAGCCCGCTCGCCTCGCTCTACAAGATCCACGTGCTCTCCGACTACCGCCACCTCTGGGCGCCTGGCAGCGACTGGTACAACGCGTGCCGGGAGCTCATGCAGAGACAGCGAGTCTCATTCAGAGAAACTGGCCCGGTGTTTGACGCTCAGATGCAGGTGGGTGCATTTTGAGTCGACGCAAAATACACCGGGAGCTTATAGGTAGACGCCGGCTCATGGAGGGAGAGAGGGGCCCGGTGTTTGATGCTCAGATGCAGGTGGGTGGGTGCGGCGGTGCTTGGGGGTTGCGTGAGAGTGGGGAGGGTTGGTGGTGGGAGAAGGTGGGGTGAGGGGGAGCGTTCACCCGCCTGCATGTGAGCTCACATGGTTCTGTGTGGGATTGGCAGCAAAACCTCATTCGAGTGTAGTGTGGTGTGGTGTTGATGTTTGCTGGACCCGGTGCATACGGAACGGATACATTTTACACATGTCGCAACCAGGGCTTTTTTTTGGTTTTGGAGCACTCTTGTTTCCAGAGGCGTTTTTGGCCTAACCCTTAAATCCAGAGTGGCTGGCGAGCGTTGCTCTTAGATGTCAGTGTAACACTTGCTGTCATTTTAAAAACCCTGTTACCTCAGAGTAACTTTCATCTGTAACCCTGATGGTTACCCATTGTTTGCTATTGCTGTTGCATTGCCAGAATTATTGGATTTTTTAAACTTTGTACACAATGACCTACTACCACAAGCTCACTCATCTTAAGCCACGTCACGTCATCCTCCTGTTCGTCGTCCGAACTGGCCTCTGGCCCGCCCTTGTCATTGGCTGGTTGGAAGGGTGCAGGGGATTTTGTAGGCCGCCTCTTCTTCTGCTTGCGCCAGATGTCCACGACATCTGGCCACTCCACGTTGTAATCGAGCATGTGGATGCTCATGAGTTCGGTGAGCCGCGTGTCGTTGAGAGCCGTGCGCTGCCAGCTCTTGATGATGTTCTGCCGTGAAAATCCACGCTCACATTCGACGGTGCTGAGTGGCAGGACGGCCAACGCCTGCCACAGGGTCATGATGTTGGGGTAAGTACGCCGCCAGTCGCGTGACCTCAGCATGTTCGTCAGCGCCTGGTATGTCAGAACATATTTATAGCTTATGCTGTTGTGTAGGCTATAGTGGGGTATCCCATAGGGGGTACAACCCACTTAGGGTTTCCCATATGTACTCATTTCATTCATAGTTCATTCATTCGCTTTCTCCTTTTCACATGGAATCAGAGCAGGTCCCCTCCTAGGGACTGTTTCTAGGGCCCACCGAAGCGCGCCCCGAGGCGCGCTTTCCTTTTTTTTAGCGACCCTCCGTGTCGCCCCTAGCGGCCCGTTGCGCCGCCCTCACCTACGCGGCCCCGCCGCCCTCACGTCGCGGCCCCGCCGCCCTCACGTCGCGGCCTCGCCGCCCTTGCCTACGCGGCCCCGCCGCCCTCACCTGCGCGGCCCCGCCGCCCTCACGTTGCGGCCCCGCCGCCCTCACTTCGCGGCCCCGCCGCCCTCACCTACGCGGCCTCGCCGCCCTTGCCTAAGCGGCCCCGCCGCCCTCACCTTCGCGGCCCCGCCGCCCTCACTTCGCGGCCCCGCCGCCCTCACCTACGCGGCCTCGCCGCCCTTGCCTTCGCGGCCTCGCCGCCCTCACGTCGCGGCCTCGCCGCCCTTGCCTACGCGGCCCCGCCGCCCTCACTTCGCGGCCCCGCCGCCCTCACCTACACGGCCTCGCCGCCCTTGCCTTCGCGGCCTCGCCGCCCTCACCTACGCGGCCCCGCCGCCCCACTTCGCGGCCCAGCCGCCTATCCTCACCGGCCCCGCCGCCTATCCTCACCGGCCCCGCCGCCTACGACCGCCGAGCCGCCCTGCCGCCGAGCCGCCCAGCAGCCGAGCCGCCCGGGAGCCGAGCCGCCCTGCTGCCGAGCCGCCCTGCCGCCGAGCCGCCCGGGAGCCGAGCCGCCGAGCCGCCCTGCCGCCGAGCCGCCCTGCCGCCGAGCCGCCCGGGAGCCGAGCCGCCCAGCAGCCGAGCCGCCGAGCCGCCCAGCCGCCGGGCCGCCCTACTGCCGAGCCGCCCGACCTGCCCTGCCTGGTGAGCACAGCACCACTGTTACTGCGTGCCCTTCCCCTACTGCTTGCACTGCTACACTGTCGTCGTCATGGCTACCCCTAGTGTCCTCGCTTTTGACGCTGAGGGTCGAGCCATTGACTTTGAGGTCTGGGTCGACGACCTGCAGCTGTTCTTACAGTGCGATAGGACGGACGGTCTTTCCCTCTTTGACCTCACCTCTGGCGCCTCTCCTGCCCCTGCTGCTGATGCTGACCCCACTGTTCGCTCTCAGTGGGCCACCCGCGATGCTGCTGCACGTCTTGCTGTGCGTCGCCACCTGCCTACCACTGAGCGCGCGCACTTTAGTCAGTACAAGAGTGCTCAGACCTTGTACGACGCTGTAGTTGCGCGCTACTCTTCCCCTGCCACTGCTGCCCTGAGCCGCCTCATGCTACCGTACCTCTTTCCTGACCTTGCTGCCTTTCCCACTGTCGCTGACCTCATTACGCACCTCCGCACTAGTGACACTCGCTACCGCGCCGCCCTTCCTGCTGAGTTCTGCGCCAAGAACCCCCCCCCCATGTACATCACTCTCTATTACATAGTCACACGCCTCCCTGACTCCCTTCACGTAGTCAGGGACCACTTCCTCTCAGTCTGTCCCACCACTCTCACTGTCGACCTCCTCGAGAAGTCCCTCCTGGCGGCGGAGAAGAGCATCGTCGCTGTAGGAGCCTCTCGTGGTGACCCTCGCACCCCCATCTTTGAGGGGTGTTCTCCTTCCCCCCTGCTGCCCTCTGTTGCCTCTGCTGCTGCTGCCGACCTGCTTGGTCTTGAGTCGGTCTGCGCGGCGTCTGCCCCTAGCGGGAGACGCCGCCCTGGCAGGGGCAAGGGGGGCAAGGGCGCGGGTGGAACTGGAGGGGGCGGTGGAGGTGGCGGTGGAGGCGGCGGAGGGAGTGGGAGTGGCGGTGGGAGTGGTGGCGGGGGCGGTGGTGGCGGTGGCAGCAGCGGAGGAGGAGGCGGTGGTGGCGGCAGCGGTGGGAGCGGAGGCAGCGGTGGTGGTGGAGGTGGAGGCGGCGGTGGCGGAGGGGGTGGAGCTGGTCGGGGTGGTGCCCCGCAGCGTAGCGGCTCTGGTGGTGGCCAGCGTCAGCAGCAGCAGCAGCAGCAGCGTTCGCGGGACATCCCCCCGCCCCAGCAGCTCCGTGAGTGGTACACGCAGCGTCAGCGGGGTGGGGGTTTTGGTCCGTGCACCTACGTCCTTCGTTCCGGCGACAGCGCGGGTGAGCAGTGTGGGGGTGCCCACCCCACCCAGCGCTGCTTTGGCCGCCTGACGGACGCTTGGCGTCAGCAGTTCCCCGAGGCTAGTGAGATTCCCCGTTGGGGAGAGCTGTCTAGGGCTGGCGTAGCTATCTTTGATCTTGACTTTGATGCTATCCTTGCTGCCATGTATGCTGTGACTATTAGTGAGGAGGGTGACTGTTACCGGTGTTTCCCGCCCGACCCGGGCATTGGTACTGCTGCGCTAGGTACTTCTGCGGCTGCTGCTCTAGGTGCCAGTGCGTCTGCACTCTCAGGTACTGGTGAGGCTGCGCTCTCAGGTACTGCGTCGGCTTCGGCCTCCCTCACCTTCACGCTTGACTCAGGGGCTTCTCGCTCCTTCTTTCGAGACCGCACCACACTCACGCCGCTTGGCCGGCCGGTTGCAGTCTCCCTGGCTGACCCCTCTGGGGGTCCTGTCCTCTCTCACTTCTCCACTGTCCTCCCGTGTCCGGCTGCCCCCTCGGGCACCTTGTCTAGTCTGTACCTCCCCTCGTTCTCGACGAACTTGGTGAGTGGTGCTGACCTGCAGGATGCGGGGGTTCACCAGTTTACTCCTGCGAGTCAGCGGGTGACCCACTGCTCGGACGCCCGCACAGGCCGACACCTGGCCACGTTTTCGCGTCAGCCGGGGTCGAGTCTCTACACCCTGACCACTGAGTCTCCTCCTGTCCCTGCGTCTGGCCAGGTAGCTGCGTCGGGTCAGGTGTTTGCTGCTGCGTCCAGGTCTGGTCCTGAGTCTGCCCCCTGCTCGTGTCGCCGCCTGTCTCAGGAGACTCTCCTGTGGCACCACCGTCTTGGCCACCCCTCCTTGCCTCGTCTTCGGGGCATGGCTTCCCGTGTCCTTGTCTCTGGTCTTCCCCGGTCTCTCCCTCCCCTTCCTTCGGGACCCGGACCTTCCTGTGTCCCCTGTGTCGAGGGGCGGCTCCGGGCTGCCCCTCACTCCTCCCAGTTTCCCCCGACAGAGGCTCCTCTGCAGACGCTTCACATGGACGTGTGGGGCCCGGCCCGCGTCCGTGGGCAGGGTCACGAGCGCTACTTCCTGCTGGTGGTTGACGACTACTCGCGTTACACCACAGTCTTCCCCTTGCGCAGCAAGGGTGATGTCACTGAGGTGTTGATCGACTGGATCCGCGCAGCTCGTCTCCAGCTCAGGAGGAGCTTCGGCTCGGACTTTCCTGTTCTGCGTCTGCACTCTGACCGAGGTGGAGAGTTCTCCTCTGGCCTTCTGCGAGCCTACTGTCGTGCACGAGGCATCCGCCAGACCTTTACGCTTCCGGACTCTCCACAGCAAAATGGGATTGCTGAGCGCCGCATTGGCATGGTCATGGACGTCGCTCGTACGTCCATGATGCATGCGGCTGCCCCCCATTTTCTGTGGCCGTTTGCGGTTCGGTACGCGGCGCATCAGATCAACCTTCACCCCAGGGTCTCCCGGCCGGAGACCTCCCCAGCTCTGCTGTGGACGGGGAAGGTCGGCGATGCGTCTGCGTTCCGTGTCTGGGGATCTCGGGCGTTTGTCCGCGACTTGTCTGCGGACAAGCTGTCCCCTCGTGCTGCTCCCTGTGTCTTCCTCGGCTTCCCCCCTGACGCCCCAGGGTGGCAGTTCTACCACCCCTCCTCTCGTCGTGTTCTGTCCTCCCAGGACGTCACGTTCGACGAGTCAGTCCCCTTCTACCGCCTCTTCCCCTACCGCACTCCTTCCCTCCCCCCGCCACCGCACTTCCTTGTGCCAGGTCCCCCCCCGGTAGACCCCCTTCCCCCTCAGGGTCCTGCCCCTTCAGGTGTGTCCCAGGTAGA